TCATCCCAGTCTGTTTCACAGTGATACTGACTCACTGCACACTCATCACAGTCTGTTTCACAGTGATACTGACTGCTACATACTCCTCCCAATCTGATTTGTGGTGATACTGACTCATTGCACACTCCTCCCAGTCTGTTTCACAGTGATACTGACTGTTACATACTCCTCATAATCTGCTTCGCGGTGATACTGACTCACTGCAAATGTCACCCAGTCTGTTTCACAGTCATACTGACTCACTGCATACTCAGTATCACTGTGAAACAGACTTGGGGGAGTATGCAGTGAGTCAGTATCACTGTGAAACAGACTGGGAGGAGTATGCAGTGACTCAGTATCACTGTGAAACAGACTTGGGGGAGTATGCAGTGAGTCAGTATCACTGTGAAACAGACTGGGTGGAGTGTGCAGTGAGTCAGTATCACTGTGAAACAGAGTGGGAGGAGAATGAGGTGAGTCAGTATCACTGTGAAACTGACTGGGAGGACTGTGCACTGAGTCAGTATCACTGCAAAACAGACTGGGAGGCATGTGCAGTGAGTCAGTATCACCGCGAATCAGATTGCGAGGAGTATGTAGCAGTCAGTATCACTGTGAAACAGACTGGGAGGAGAGTGAGGTGAGTCAGAATCACTGTGAAACAGACTGGCAGGAGTATGCAGTGAATCAGTGCTGCTGTGAAAACTGTTCAGGGATATTATGACACACACCTCTCAAGCAGCTGGATTTGAACCTCGGTCTCCCAGCTCAGGGATGGGGATATTACCACTGCACACAAAGTATTAGAGACAATTCAAAACATATTCACTAAGTTGGGTCCTGGGATGAAGAGGTTGGCTTACCACGTTTGACTAAAGGCCTTTTTTCATTAGAATTTAGAAGAATGAGGAGCATACAAGATGCTGAAAGATTTGACAGCATAGATTAGGTGACACAGTTACAGAATAAGGGGGCATTCATTTAAAACTGAGATGAAAAGGAGTTTCTTCATTTAAAGGATAGAAAATATTTGGATCTATCTCAGAGAGTTGTGGAGGTGAGATCACAGAAAGTATTTAAAGAAGAGGAAGATATATTTTGGAAATGTTAAGGGTAATGAGTGACTGGGGCAAAAGAGGATTTGAGCTCTGGGACAGATCAGCCCTGATCTTTGAGAATGGTGGGGCAAGACAACTTTGGGGCTAAACACAACTTTTCATTATAAATGATCAAACATATCTATATATATATCAGAAAATAAATCAAAATCAACTGTACACTCACTCCAAAATGATGCAATTTTATTAAAGAAAACAAAACTCTCACTTTAATAGAGTTATCAAACTACCCTCATTCAATAGGTAAATGCATCGTTTGCACTGGCACTGAGCCAAAAAGGCTGCAGATTTATTTGTGGTATAGAGCAAGAACACATTGTAATAGGCTCAAAGAAACCTGGGTGTGAATGTTATGCAAATGATCATGCTGTGGTCGAATTCCCTCGATCTCTTCTACCCAACTACTAATCTTGTGCTCAAATACACCACAGCCCATTATAATGATTCCAACACAGTGCCATACGTATAAAATTCCCGCAATTACAAGATCATGGAATTATGAAGTACAAGAAGCCAATAGGCCCATCAAGTCTGTGCCAGATCTTTAGTAGAGGCTATGCAATGAATCCCAAGCCCCAGTATTAGATTTTATCAGGTGCTGTTGTCCTTGCACTATCCCAGCTCTAAGGTCAGAGGGGTAACTGTCCACCAGCAACCCTACTGCTGTCTAGTGGCAATTTACTGCTGTGAGTAGAGTTAATTGCTTCAGAGTAAGAATTGTGCTCTAATCTCAGGAGGAAGCCTGCTTCAGAGATCTGGAGCAGTCCCAACCTGTTGAGGAGCCTGGGCAAGTACAAGATCAGGGATCTCAGTGAGAATGGGGAGGCGGGGGCAGATGTAAGAAGCAGGGGTAGGACTAAGGGGAGGGAAATGGCCTTGGAGATTTATCATCAAAGTAATCTTCACCTCCATTTGTCCAATACCAGCCCATTCAGCTGATGTGATGTGGCATATGCCACCACGGGTAAAAATACCACAGAGGCACAGTGAGGCTATTAACTTGCACTTTTGGAGCCTCAAGAGGCCCAAGGGTTGGTAAGCATTGGCTGGCCCTAGAATATTTGAGACAGGCTAAGGGTGGGTTGCTAGGCAGCGGACAGGTGAATTGCCCTGCCTTCAAACCCGCTGGTGAGGGACCATAAACTCCAGACCCCTTTTCCAGTCTTGGATTCATCCCTTATCTTTGGGAAGGATTGAATCTGCTTCCAACACTTTTTCAGGCATTCCTGCCATCACTCACTGGGTACAACCTGTTTCTTTACATGACCTCTGCTTCTTTAACTGAATGTGTGCACACTGACTACTGAATATTCTGATGCTGGAACCAGTTATTTCCATGATCAAAACCATTTCTCATTTTGAGCTGCTCTATCAAATTCCCTGCAAACCTTTTGCACACTGAGGAGAACATTGACAACATCTCCAGTCACTCAGCAATAAAGTTCCTGGTCAGTAATAAACTCTTCTGCACTGTCTACAAGACCTGCATATCTTTTCTAAAGCATAATTCCTGGAACTGAACACAATACTTTAAGAGAGACCCAAGCAATGTTTTATAACTGTTGAACATTAATTTCTTTACCTTTGTATATTATTTACAAAGCAAAGAATCTGACGTGCTGTTTTGATAGTCTTCTTGAATTATCTTCAAATGTTTGTGGACAGATATCCCCATGAACCTTCCGATCCTGTGCCCTCTTTAACATCGTACAATTATATTCATGTTTCCTCTTTTCATTCTATCCAACAAAATATATCAGTCACATTTGTCTGTATTCAGCTGCATTTGCCTTGCAACTATCCATTTTAGTATCTATGTTCCCCCAATACCTGTTACTGATCTATTTGTTGCCTGCTGCACATTTTGTGTTCTCCACAAACTTTGAAATTGTGCTGTGTACTCTGAAATCCAGGTCACTGAGATATACAAAATAGTGCAACGGTCTCTAACACTTGGGGGAAGACATTCCACGCTTTTGTTCAGCCTAAAGAACAAATATTCGCCATCATTTCTATCCCTTGGCCATTTGTATAACTGTAATTGTTAACACTGTCCCTTTAATCACATTGCTTTAATTTTGCACACAATTGTTAGGCTGTACTGTGTTATCATTTGGAGAAAATACCAAAGAGTCAGAAACCCAAGATAGTATCTCTGATATAACAAGGTGTAGAGCTGGATGAACACAGCATGCCAAGCAGCATCAGAGGAGCAGGAAGGCTGAAGTTTTCGGCCTAGACACTTCTTCATTGTGGACTTGTCCCTAAAACCTGTCTTTATTCTGCTAGTTTGCATCTTTTAAACGGTGTAAAACTCCCCAAGGTCAATGTAGTGATCTACATGCATTGGAGTTTAGAAGAAATAAAGGTGAAAAAATAGGGTTCTGGTGGGAGCTTGGCAGGGTAGCCGCTGAAAGGTTTCCTGTCCTGGGAATGCAGAAGTAGGGAGCACAAAATAAATCATCCATTTAAAATGGGTTGGGGCGAATTTTATTTTCTCAGGGGACCGGCTAAGTTTTAATCAGCCTGATCAGACATATTCATTTCTGGAACAGGATAGGATTCTGAACCTAGAACCTCTTGCCTCAAAAGTGAGGGCACCATTACTGTGCCACAAGAATCCTCTCAGATGGGCTAAATTTTCGCAATTCCTTATCTGAAAGCAGCTGGGAGTTGTGGTATTGCGTGTTTGTAAGGCAGAGACTGACAGAGATTTGAACTCCAGGTAAGTCAGCGGTTAGGGGGAACAGGCAGAAAAACGGGATTCAAGGGAAAATCAAACCTGATTGCGTGACGAAATGAGCTAGAGGGGCCGAGTGGCCGACTCCTTATCATCTTTAATTGACTTCCCTCTTTTGTCAATTTCTTGAATATCTCGAGTAGGCTAAAACGTCATGTCAAGGAGCGTGACTTTGTTTGAAATGTCCATTCTCTATATCTGCTCGGGAGTGACTAGCGTGGCTCTAATATTTATTGTGATGTGGGTTTGTTTGAAGTGGATTTCTGTACTAGCACCTTCCACCAATGACAGATAGAGAACTAGCTGCACCTTCTCGTCAAAAATCACAACAGCACGTTCGCTAAAAGGAGGAGGAAGCAGAGCCGACTGAAGCGCACGGACAGACCCAGTGGTGTCTTGGGAACGTCAAGAAACACACCTTGGGCTAGAGCAGCGTCCCTGACTGAATTCACACGGAACTGGAAAGGCAGCGAGAGAAAGCTGGGACACAGAGAGAATCTCCTATTCTCTCAGACTGAGCGCTTTCATCTGGGGGAACACCAGGCAGACTGTTAGCAAAGGACAGGAGAGAGAGAGAGAAACACTCGAATATTCAGCCAAGCCTGAATTGAGCAAAGAAAATCGTAAGTAATTCATGGAGGGAAAGTATTACTGTGCGATTACGAAATAATTTACGAACGGTTAAACGAGACGAAAGCCCTTGCAGGGAGACAAAGTTGATGGTCTCCATTCCAGTGTAACTTCAGGGCTCATGTTTGACTGTGATTTTCTCTGACCAATACTCCTTTGAAGAAGTCCAAGTTGTAACGAGCAGTTCGGAATTTTGGCCCGAAAGCTTTGGAAATTGTAAAGGGGTTGGTGTAAGAGGAGTGAGAGAGTTCCTCCAGCAGGCTGAGCAGGAAGGGAGAGAGGGATTCCTGAAGGGGCTGATGGAGCAGAGAGCAGCTGGCCTGGATCAGGGCGAGAACCTGAGCTCCCGGCTCAGCCTCCTGCAGGAATTCGCCAACCTCTCCTCGCAATTCCAGGGCATCCAGCTCATCCAATCGTTCAAACCCCTCATCATTCCGTGCTACGCGCTGGTGGTCTTCATCGGCATCCTCGGCAACTACTTGCTCATCCATGTCATCTGCAAAACGAAGAAGATGCACAACACCACCAACTTCCTGCTGGGGAACCTGGCCTTCTCAGACATGCTGATGTGCGCGACCTGCGTGCCCTTCACCCTGGCCTATGTCTTTGAGCCGCGGGGCTGGATCTACGGCAGGTTCATGTGTTACTTCGTGTTCCTGATGCAGCCCGTCACGGTCTTTGTCTCGGTCTTCACCCTGACTGTCATCGCCGTCGATCGCTACTACGCCACGGTGCACCCCCTCAGGAGGAGGCTGACCATACCCAGCTGTGCCTACCTGCTGACCACCATCTGGCTCCTGGCGTGTCTCCTGGCAGCCCCGGGCCTGGTACACACCTACTATGTGGAGTTCTTCCATCAGGACTTGACCATCTGTGAGGAGTTCTGGGTGGAGTTGGAGAAACCCAGGCTGCTGTATGCCTACAGCACCCTGCTGGCCACCTACGTCCTGCCCTTCTTGGTCATCTCGCTCTCCTACCTCCGCATCTCCGTCAAGCTGAAGAACCGTGTGGTGCCCGGCAACATCACCCAGTCCCAGGCCGAGTGGGACCGAGCCAGGCGCAGGAGGACCTTCCGCCTCCTGGTGTTGGTCGTGGCTGTTTTCGGCCTTTGCTGGCTCCCCCTGCACCTCTTCAACATGATCAAGGACATTGACTTTGACCTGATCGACAAGCAGTACTTCAACCTCATCCAGCTGCTGTGCCATTGGCTGGCCATGAGCTCTGCCTGTTACAATGCCTTCATCTATGCCTGGCTCCACGACAGCTTCAGGGGGGAGCTGAAGAAGATGTTCACCTGGAGGAACCAGAAGGTGGCTCCCACTGCTCACTGTGTCATGGCCAGTGTGGTTTTGTAAATAAAGCAGAGTCCGGGTGGGGCAAAACTACATGATCTCTAAGTACAAACCGGGAACAAATCAGACTTGTGTGCCAGGAACTGATAATCTGGGGAGAGACCTGGCAGTATATGTGCGCAAATAGTAGAAAGTGTCGGGTGACAGGTTGAGAGACACGGTGAGTCCTGTTGGCAGGATGAGTGCAAAAGCAACAAAGTTATGATTAACCCTGCTAGAATTCTAAGTCAACCTCAGCTGGAATGCAGAGTGCGGTAGACAGATTGAATCCTACCTTTGAAAACTGAACTGGATAATTATTTGAAGAGAAACGGTTGGGAGGACTGCAGTAAAGACTTGGGTTAGCTGAGTAGTTGTCACAGATAGCCCACATTGGCAAGGCAGGTTGAATGGCCTTATTCTGTGTTGTTACCATTCTGGAATTGTATGTGCAAGGGAGTGAGAGAGTTGCAAAACAATAGACTACAATGATTTTTGACATGGTTTATGGGGACAAACTGTCTTCCCCATTCAAAGTTCAGGAATGCTGTTTTATGTCCCTGTCTCCCAACTTTTAAGTTTTTTTTTAAGAGTTGCAAAGCACAGTATGAATCTAGAATGTGCTCCCCCCAATTTGTACTGAAATGTTTATACAACGGACAGTGATCGAACATTGTTGATGTGTTCTACACTTAATCGAAGTAAGTGTCTCAATTGCATGCTAAAAATTATTGCAAATGTGAATTATATATAAATCATAACCTGCAGCAGAATACTAAGAGGAAATATTTAATGAATATAAATATCCTTTATCAACAGTTTTGGTCACCTTGCAACAGAAAGGATGTTATTAAACTGGAAAGAGTGCCAAAGAAATTTACAAAGATGTTGCCAGGACTCAAGGGACTGAGTTAGAGGGAGAGGTTAGACAAGCTGGGAGACTGAGGGGGGATTCTTATGGAAGTGTATAAGATCATGAGAGGCATGGATAGGGTGAATGCACTCAGTCTTTTTCCCAGTTTTGGGCAATCGAGGACTAGAGGGCATCAGTTTAAGGTAAGAGGGGAAAGAATACATGGGAACCTTAGGGGCAACTTTTTTACACAGAGGGTGGTATGCATATGGAATGAGCTGCCAGTGGGAATGGTTGAGGCAGGTACATTAATAACATTTAAAAGGCATTTGAACAAATACATGAATAGGAAAGGTTTAGAGGAATATGTGCCAAGTGCAGGGAAATGGGTATGCATGGATGGGCATTTTGGTCAGCATGGACCACTTTGGGCCGAAGGGCCTGTCGCCGTGCTGTAGGACTCTATGACTCTATAACTACTGGGAGATGAAATTCTTTCTTATTTCCTTGAGTTAGTGGGATTGCACTGCCTGAATCGGAGCCACTGTGAGGGAAGTGAATGCATCTTCAATTTTGGCTTCATATAAAACCATTGTAAGTAAATAATATTTTCTGACTGAGTTCAGATTAATTGCACACAAGGTCTGTTTAAGCAGACAGTTCATTAATTTGCTGTATTTGATGCAACATCATGCTTTATCTGTCACACAAATTAAGCCAATGAGAATTATAGTATGCTTAAAATGTGATGCAGAGGTTCTCTGAGGTATCCTTGATTACCAAGGGTGATCCACTGTTCATTGTTACTGCTGAACCAGCTCTTTATAAGGACTGTGATCAACAGACCAGGATGGGCCTTATTCCATTAAATGAAGACTGGCAGATGAAATGATTCTGATCAATCTGCCTCACTTTCCTCCCACAGTATCATTGACATTGCATCTGAACCTACTTGCAGAACAGTTTGCGATGCCAACAGCAAAGATTAAAGATTACTCACATCAATCTGAGCTGAGCTGAAACAGAACAGACTGTGATAGAGCCTTAGTTAACAAGGTGTAGAGCTGGATGAACACAGCAGGCCAAGCAGCTTCATAGGAGCAGAAAGGCTGACGTTTCGGGCCTAGACCCTTCATCAGAAATGGGGGAGGGGAAGGGGGTTCTGAAATAAATAGGGAGAGAGGGGGAGGCGGATAGAAGATGGATAGA